CATCGTTGTACGAGGTTACGTGGTTAAAAAAGTGGGTAACATTAACCGATACAAGGTGTGCCTGTATATTTCTCATGTCTACAAAGGTTCAGGTGTAAAGAGCTACATTTGTGTGTCAAAATTTGGCTCTACAGCCGCATGTCGTTCTAATCCTGCTTATGGAGTGGAGTACTTGTTCTTCTTGAACAGAAAAGTAAACGAGAAGTTGCGAACTGAGTATGCAGCTCGTTACGATGGTATAGCCACAGCAGCACAAGTGTTTAAAAAAGACTTGGAAGACGATGTTAGGGGTGGAAAATGCTGCCCAGGTTCAATGAAAAGTATGTATATAAATATATACCACCCTTATAGCGAAAGCATCTTTTCCACTCTTGCAAGAGTCAACTCGGTCTATAGATCTATTGAAAGCACGGCGTGAAATTTTATGTGAACAATTCTTTCTGAGGGATGAGAACATTCATATCTTATAAATGCTCCTTGTACCAAATAAATGCTCCTTGTACCAAATAAATGCTCCTTGGCCCTTGTGATGAACAGAAAAGAGGTAAATGGCGTATGTGATTATGGATATTGCTTCTGTTTTGCATTGTTGTATGGAATATCGAAGTCAAGGCATCAATTGTGCGAATAAAAAATTAATGGGAGATGACTGATGACCTAGCTACACATCCGGTCATCTTGTAATTTTCATCATAACACTGAGTTCTTAGCCATATCAATTTCTTCCGGTTATATGTGCAAGACAGACATTTCATATAATTGTAATGTACAAATGCCCTTACACCGCGCTTGATAAAGCACCTAATTATTAGGCAGTTCGTCTAATATATATATATATGTATATGAATATGTTACTGAAAGGCGTTTATTTGTTGCTGAAAGTGGGCGTGTTTTTCACTCATTTAAAAGAGCATGATGCGTGCATGTGGTTATGATTTTCAAATGACGCTTATAGATGGAATTTAAATGTCTAATAGAATAATACTAATGAAAACGTTCTTCAAAATATTCTATTTGCATGGATAGCTATACAACCATATATAGGCTGTATAGGCACTTTAAATTATTAAATGAAAAAATTTTAAATACAATTAGAAAGATGGGAGAAAGTACATTTTGAAGAAAGAAAGAGTTTGGATCATTTAGTTTTCAATCATATTTAGAATCGTTAACTTATTTCTTAATAACCTCTTCTCCCAATAAATACTAAGACATGAAAGAACCAGGTCAAAAAATCAATAAATTATATCTTAACTAATATCACTAAAACACTAATTGCTACTTCTTTCTTTTCTGTCATAGAATGTAACAAGTATCTGAAATGTAGAACGGGCCGTTGCGGTCCATTGTATTGCTCATGCAGACCATTGTATAGTTTCGAAGGATGGTAAGTTGTAAAATTATATTCAAGATAAATTTTTTCAACCTGGAAAGAATCGCCATGAATTGTTAAAATTTGAAATTCAAACTAAACTAGATTTACAATAGTCGATGCTTTATGTGGATTTCCAACTTTTAGTGTGCAGCATAGATGCGGCTCAAATCAGAAGTGTTGTCAAGTAAATTAAGCTAAATCCAGTATAATGGCCCAACTGCGACTGTTTTCTTATGAGATCACCAGCCATGATGATAATACTGAACGCAATACGCTCTTTCGTGCTTGGTTTGGGAAATTGGTACACTAGTACGATAAATACTAATTCAATAGTAGCATGCTCAGCTGGCTATACTATCATCGCATACAAGGTTGAAATCGAATTTTTGCTGCTACATCTCAACACCAGCCCCCTTCCCCCCCCCCCCACACACACACACAATCGTAAAATCCTCGCGCGGTCCATGTTGTGACCTACCTTTTACATGTGACAATTAAAAATTAATTTCTCTATTTTATTTTCTAAAATGTTACCATTTGAAGAAAACCTCGCTTGCCATGCGAATTTAACCTGACAAACCTCATTTATGGTATATTAATTAGTATTTCGTGCACATAATTACCTTTCAGCGCCTTGCCAATCTTATCATAATAATTTTTGAATTTTATGTAGATTCCTATTTCTGACGAATATTTGGGGAAAGAAGAAACATATATTGCTTTGATTCATATATTATTATAAATTGAGTTTTAGATCACATCGTGTTGTTTAAAATTGTAAAATAAACTGGATGAAACTGGGTAAATATATAAAGGTTATAATTTTATACCGATGCACATGCACTTGCATGCCGATCGATGATTTTTGTGACATTGCCACCATAAAATATAGGATGGGGGGTGCATGGTGGGATCACGTTTCACGAAAAGAATAACGACAGTCATTTCACGTTTCGATTACATATAAGAAATTGACTATAGTATATTTCACGAAAATTAAAAAGCATGCATGTATGTTTTTAACAGTATAAATTATATTTTCCATCTTGAGTATTTCATGCCTTTCTCATGGCGTTAGCTTATCTTTACGTTTCTGTGGCTAACTTCACCAGAGAACTGAAAGCCTTTTTTAAAACCAATCTGGATATATCAATTAAAATTGCCACATCCAAAGCGTGCGCTTCTTCATGTTCGTCACTTCTCGTGTCTCGTAATATAGACCTCAAATGTACATTCTCGATCCCCAATTAAACAAAAACTACCCATGCAATCACGACCCGCAACCAGGCATGTAGCTAAATCACGTTTCACGACACAAATATCCGTCATTTCATATTTCACGCGCGAACACTGAATATTGGTAGTTCACAATTCGGCACAAAATACCCTATAAAACCCTCTTCAATTAAGGTCTTTGAATACAGTAAAAGTTGTAAAATAGTCTAAGACTAAATATACAATAAGTTAGGAGTACTTTAGAATAAAGGTTATTTATTTAATACATATTAGTCGACGTATACTTTTGTTTAAAGTCATTAAGCGATGTTTGCAAAAAGCGCTGAATTCGAAATGCAGAGAAACCAAATATTTATGTGAAGTATGGTTCTTAGACGATATTATACATCATATTTTCACAAAATAAAATATAATTTCGTTCCACAAGTGCAGAGACCTTCATGCAATGATGCATGTATTATACTGTTAGCCCTGCCGCCCACAGTCATCCTGTGAGTCACTCTTGACTACGCGGAGTTGGAATTCCTGTTTAGTCAATTTAGAGCAGATCACATAAAAGGGGATCAAAATAAATATCCATATATCGAGGCACAGGGTCGTGTGAAATCCATTCTCTCTCTGTCTCTCTGGTGTGTATTGGTGAATAAAAAAACAGGTTAGCATGCCGTTTAAAGTTTCTATTTTTTTGGTAACATTTATTTATAGCTCCTCACTATATGTTCTATAAAATTAATTTGTCTTAGCTTTTATACATAATTTTCATTTTCCAACACATGCATAGATGTGGAATATAAATCTTCTAACATTACTGACACGTGGCTTGTAGATTTACCAAATAGTGAGTGTTTTAAAAACTGTTTAATTTAATTAAACACTGCATGTAAAGTAATGCATAATATTTATATGCATTTCTGGGATATTTAAAGCTTTGGAATTTTCAGACTTTTACAAACTTTTCGTCGAAGTGCACGACACTTTGGAAGTGACTTGCTGCTCCATGTACTACTGCATGTAGGAAGCAATTTTGTATTGGGGGGGGGGGCTGATTAGTCAGGGTCGATTATTAGGTCATTATCTCCCTCTCAGACTTTATAGATCATCGCTAGTTTACAAATTATTGTGTGCCCAGTTTTGCTACGGCCCTGTCCTCGGGCTATGACACATGTACTTGGTTATGACAGTATGCAATTTCAAATTTTAAGTATTCCCAATATCTTAATGCACATATTCATTTCTCAGTTAATTTCTATACAGATACACTGTTACAGTACATGAAAAATGCCGAAAATTGCAAATGTAACAATCACATTGCTGGTTTTCTTGTGTGGAATACACCAAAGTTCCCAATGCAGTCCTCCACGGGATTGGAACCCTCCTACAATTACCGAATTAACTGAGAAAGCTCCGATCGTTGTCCGAGGTTTCGTGGTTAAAAAAGTGGGTGACATCAACCTATACACAGCGTGCCTGCGTATTTCTCATGTCTATAAAGGTTCAGGTGTAAAGAGCTACATTTGTGTGTCAAGGTTTGGCTCAACAGCCGCGTGTCTTTCCGATCCTGCTTATGGAGTGGAGTACTTGTTCTTCTTGAACAGAAAAATAAATGAGAAGTTAGGAACTGAGTATGAAGCTCGTTATGATACTATACACTCCGCCACACGAGTGTTCAAGAAAAACTCGGAGGATGAAGTTAGGGATGGAAAATGCTGCCCGGGATCATCGAAAAGTACGTATCTATAATATCACCCAATAGGCTATATAGCTAACTCGCTCAAAGATAAAATTAAATTAATAATATTGGCATTTCATAAAGATTGATGATCTATATACACACATCCGGACATCTTAACAACTTCACCATAGCAGCGAGTTCCTAGCCATAAAAATTTCTTGCGGTTATGTGAAAGACAGATATTTGACTTGCATGTAATATGCAAATGTTTTTAATATACTGCTTGAAAAAGCACCAAGAAATATTAGCAACCTTTCTAATAGTTTTCGGGTTTTTTGGGATACCCTGTATAAATTACGGATGATTCGAATTCATTACAAATATTTCTTATTCTTGTTCTTTAAAATATTAAAGATTTGGGAACAATTAAGCTACACCAAGGCAGCATTCACTACCCTGTGGGTAAACTAGTCTTTAGCTTATATCCGCAATCTACAAAGCGATCCACTTTCCAAACGTTCTTTTCTTTTGATTTTCTATATTACACTGTGATGTGCAAGTTTTCATTTTTCGGTCATCGCGAACGCCTGAGATTAAGGCGTCTTGTTAATACGTCAATAGGTTTTCTTTTTCGTATTTACTCTCAGGCTTTTAGTTTCAAATGACACTATGGAATGATTGCGATAAAAAATGACCAAACGCGATCTGATTTGAAGTGATCGGCTGAATTCGTCCGATTTTCGAAGATTTGCCCAAATGTTTGCTGTCCATTTGGGAAACGCATTCCATCGGTGAATCCAGTCTGAAAGCTTCCAGTGTTGTAAGATTGTTTTAATCACTCAAATTTCATTGTTAAATGGCAATTAAAAGTTTATCAAAACTTAATGATGGATTGCGGCTGACACATATTTACTCAAGGGACTTCAATTTGAATCCCAAGTGAGAATAATTTCAATACTAAGACAATATAGCTTTAATTGCAATTCCCAATAATGGCAAAATGCGATTTTGACCGGAATTTTTATATCGGATTTTATTTGGCTATTTTTGTTCGCAATGATACGAGAAAGGTATACTATTCGACAAGCTATAAAAGCCTGATCTTTATTGGACAGGTGTGAAAAAGTTAAGGGATAAACGTAATATATATATATATATATAGGTATATATATATATATATATATATATATATATATATATATATATATATATATATATATATATATATATATATATATATATATATATATATATTTCTTGACCACTTCTCCCAATAAATTCAGAGACACAAAAGAACCTCGAAATTCAATTCAATCGATAATTAAATTATATTTTAATAATATTAGTAAAGTAATAAAGCTACTACTAACTTTCTTATTTTATTATGTAGAGTGTAACAAAGATTTGAATTGCAGAGCGGGACGTTGTGGTCCATTGTATTGCTCATGCAGACCTTTGTATAATTTTAAAGGATGGTAAGTTTGAAAATTTCATTTTCAAGATAAATTATTCAGTCAACTTTTAAAAAGAATGCATGAAATGTTAAAGCCTGAATTAAACTAAATTATATGTAGAGCTACACGTATAGTCGATAGAATAGAAAGTTAGCGATGGAGGCCCAATGGGTCTCATTATTTATATTTTTCTCTTGGTTTATGCAGAAAATAGTCCGCAGCATGCATCGTCACGTGTGCATTGTATTTTCGACAATTATATATATATATATATATATATATATATATATATATATATATATATATATATATATATATATATATATATATATATATATATATATATATATATATATATGTTAGTTGTGTAATTGTACACTCTGTAATATGTTAAGATGAAAATGTTCTAGAGTGTGTATTATATAATTTCCATACCAAGCGCAAGCAGAAAGAGTGTACAATTACACAACTAACATAACACTTGCAGAACTAGTATTGTTCGATGCTGAATTAATATAAACGAGTATGTTTATGACATTCAGTATATATTTCATAATTTCCAGTCTTAAATCCGTCTGACCGTGTAGCTCAGTAGGTAGAGCGTCGATCTAGTAATTCGAAGGTCGCGGGTTCGAGACCCAGCCGCGGCAGACAACATCTTTCTGCTTGCGCTGGGTATGGAAATTATATAATACACACTCTAGAACATTTTCATCTTAATATATATATATATATATATATATATATATATATATATATATATATATATATATATATATATATATATATATATATATAATTCCATGACAATATCCAACGCATTTGACACAGAAAACTAGCTATTTGCATATCAAATTCTGGACAAGCGATATATATAAAAAATGACCGTTCAGACTATTGTTCTATTCATCCATATTAATGAGGCCCTTACCGCCTGTCAGGGTGGATATATATATATGTCCGATAGTTCGTCAGATTTTCACAACGAGTAATATCTTTGAGATGATTATCTCTGCATGCATGAGTGCATGCATGCATGTGCCCATACCAGGCAGGTAAGCTGTACATTTTACTTGACCGCGGTTGGAATCGAACCTGAGACCTTTGGTTTGCAAGTTCAATTCTCTACAAACTGAGCTATGAGGTCAAGTAATTTCAGGTTCAATAAGTGATATTTCGGTACTCAGTCTGAATTGAAAAGCAAGAAATATGGTAGAAAATTGTCGAAAAAGCAACAAATATATATATATAATTATGTGTTGTGGTCAATTATTTTAAGCCCCACTTTTTTCCCCCTCCCCATGCAGAATTTTGGAAGTTTTTGCAGGGAAAAAAAATTGATTGATCGGGAAAAATGCAACAAAGTCTACGCTTGAGCAAATTTCTTTCTGCCCCCTAATTTTTTTCCTTCCCCTAAGCCTATGTCTATGATGATCGACGCTTGACAACGTTGTCATGTTGCTTTTGGAATTTAGTTCATGTTTTCTGTTTTTATGGCGCTGTAGCTAGTCACACTAGACAGAGTTCGTGTTAAAATTAATTTCGCTATTTTATTTCCTATATGTTTCCACCATAGATATCTTCCACATTAAGAACAATTTAATGTCGCCTGTCGGAATCTATATCCTAACACTAATCAGTATTAATATTTAAATTTTTCGCAATATATTTACATTTCAACGCCAGCCTTGCTTGCTAATCTCATATAATAAATATTAAATTTTAAAGAAGATTCCTATTTTTGGCGAATATTTGGTGAAAAGAGAAAAAAGTCACAGTGCGTTCATAAATATAAAATTAAGAGTTGGAATTTAGTTGTTTTCTATTTTTATGGCGCTGTAGTCATTGCATGCACTATAGACAGAGTTCTATAGACAGAGTCATTGCATGCACTATAGACAGAGTTCGCTATTTTATTTCCTATATGTTGACACATTAAGAAAAATTTAATGCTGCCTGTCGGAATCTATACCCTAACAGTAATCAGTATTAACTATTTCGCACTATATTTACTTTTCAACGCCAGCCTTGCTAGCTAATCTTATATAATAATTATTGAATTTTATGTAGATTCCCATTTTTGACGAATATTTGATGAAAAGAGAAAAAAGTCACATTTCGTCCATAAGTACAGATCACATCGTGTCGTTTATAAAATTGTAAAGATAGACTGGGGTGTCTTTGAACACATCTCGTCGTGTCAGTATAAGTTGTAATAATCTAGGACTAGAGTAGCCTACATTGAGTTGGTAGTAATTTGGAATAATGTTCATTTACATACGGTATATTGTTGTAGATTTTTGTTACAAGTACCCACTTTTTTGTTGCAAGTACTGAAATGCAGAGAAACAAGTAAGGGACAGGTCATTAAATACAAGGGAGGGGGGGGGAGTGGGGGCTGGTGGAAATGAAAAATTAGATGCTAAAATGTTGTTGGCCCCCATTGAGGATAACACAATTATACCCCATACAAATACAAAAGGCACATTCATAAAGCGAAGCCACGTTTAATCATTCTGCCCTATCATAGTTGCCAACATTGGGAGAAAATTAAAAACATCCGTAAGATTTTGCTTTGAGGGGCCCAAGAGGCGCCACCATAGTTGTCGCCGAGCGGAAAGATTTGAAAATATGGAGTCCCTAGTCCCTTGGAAATGGCATTTTTATCTGTAGGTTTTATGGTACAACAGGGTCATGCGGGGCAGGTATTTATATTGCACAAACATTTTTGTCCCCCCTCTTTTTCATGCATGACCTCCCCCTGTTTTTCCACCAGCCCCCTCCCCTGTAATTAATGACCGGTCCCTAATGGAGAGAAACAAGTATTTCTGTAATCCCCCTGCATGGCATAGTTTGACAAAGATAAAGAATTCAAACCTCTGTATTCAGACAAACGACGCCATTCAAAGAGAAGTCAAAATTGTAGATTGTGTACTACTACCACAAGAAAAACAAAACAAATTGACAGCTAACTTATATAGTAACAAAACCTACACTACATGTTATATAGGAACAGCAGTGAAATAACAGCAATCTTATACAAACTGGAACAATTTGAGCCAGCCGCCACAAACTCCAGAAAATTGAGATGGATAGGGATTCAACTGCCTAAACAGTGTTTTACTGGTAATTGTCAGGTAGAATTGAACATCCATCTCAATTTACTGATCATCTAGTGTGTCTGTTTGCGGAATACTTTTACAGTACGAAATTAATGCAGGATTTGGTCTGACATATAGACACGTACCTGCTACATCAGATGATCAATGACAATAATTTAACCGACTGTAACAAAACTAACAAGGACAAAAGATTTCGATGGTTATAATATGCCTACCTCTTCGACGATCTTCTTCTTATATCACGGGACGAAATTACCTTTACACCACTATTTTAAATGTGAATAATAAAGGCTTTAATTAACGGACATTTTTTTTGTAAAAGTATCAAGACTGGCGACTGGATATATATGCAGGATAGGAACGGAAGGAAAGTTACAACGTCGTCCGCTCCTGTGAAAAAATTTCCTAAGTGTAAATTAGCCTACAATGAAGTTTAACAAGACGAACACAAGAATTTGAACAAGACAAATTACGGGACTTGTTACAAGACAAACATACAGACAAGATGATTTAAAACATACAGACAAGACAACCATACCGACGATTTAACATAATAGTAATTGATCAACACTGAACGCAGGCTCGCGTTTACGTCAGTGTTGCCATGGTAACATGCAAACTTGCTCTATATTTTACGATTTTCCAGCAAATCAATTCTTCTTATTTCTTCAAACAAAAATTTCTTCAAAAGCAAAGCTCATTGTGTGAAATGTGATTTTCCAAATATATAGTTGCTTTTGAATTTTGAAATTTTGCTTATATCCCACTCCTGGCAAACAGCCATATTTTTGAGATCAGTGAGGTCCGCCCTGACCACCCATGAACCATGGTAACGCGCCCGCGATTATTCATGAACTTTAGACTTTGCTAATGCTCCAGTTCATTTTCCCGGGTGTAAATAGCTGGGCGGAATTAGTACCCTCGCCCCAGAATTAGTGCCCTTGCCTCGAGATTTGAAATCTATTTTATGGTTATTTGTCAAGAAGGCTCGGCTAAACAAGTCAGTGACCGCAGGGAGCAACGGGCCCCTACCCAGTGTTTTATAAGGGGGGGGGGAATAATTTTGCCCCCCCCCATAAAAAAAACCCAATTGATTTCGAAACTAGAAGTATTTGAAATCGTATATATATAATCAAATATCTGTAATCGGATATTTTGATAACAACATTTTTCGTAATAATCCATCCTGACTCGCGGATAGCATAGACTCACAAATCATAATGAACGAATTAATGAAAGGGCCTAACAAAAGAGGTAGAGAAGACTTAGAGACGCAAATTTTTTTCGCTCTGTACCAACCATGGTGGCGCTTCATGGGAGTTGGGCCCTCTAAGTTTATCAAGCTGGCTCCCTGAGTGACGGCCAAGTTGTGGTATCAACATAAACATATTATACAAGTACTTAACTGAAGGTTCAGTCTATCTACAGCATAATGTTATGCTGTATATCCAAAAATCTGTTTCAGAAAATACAGGGAATGCAGTCATAGAAATATTTCTAAAGAAATATTTCCAAACTTATAAACAAGCTGTCGGGATGTTTGCTTTGAAGTTTTGTTTACCGGCCCCATGTCTAATAGCTCCAGTGTTACTGCATGCGACTGATGTGAAATTACATAATCAGACAAAAGCATATAAGAACCTAGCTAACAAAATCGCAAGAAGATGTTTGAAAACAATTACCAAGCTCCACTAGAATGAGTATAGTAATGATGATGTTGGTGATGTTGATAATGACTGATGATGATACTGATGATGATGATACTGATGATGATGATAATGATTATGAAGATGATGGTGGTGATCACGATGGTGATGACAGTGGTGAAGATGATGGTGGTGATCACGATGGTGATAGTGATCATGATGGTGTTGGTGGTAATGATGGTGATTGTGAAGATGATGGTGGTGATCATGATGGTGATGATAGTGATCATGATGATGTTAGTGATGATGATAGTGACTGATGATGATGGTGATGGTGATTGTGAAGATGTTGGTGGGGATCATGATGGTGGTGACAGTGGTGAAGATGATAGTGATCATGATGGCGATAGTGATCATGATGGTGTTGGTGGTAATGATGGTGATTGTGAAGATGGTGGGAAAATACAAAAATTTTCTGGGGGCGAATACCCCAGACCCCCCCCCCTTACTATTAAATGCGATACCACACCAAACTTTTTGTTACCAACAAACCATCTATCATTTCTCCACACTCCCTTTTGGTCCCTTTTTGTAGATGCCTTCACTGATGAATTCTTAAAATTCGAAATTCTGAATAACCATTTTTCGACTATGGTTTAACACTCGTTAATAAATTTCGCACAGTTACGTCTACCATCACCGCTGCCGTTTGTAAAGACCATCTTGAATCTGGCGTAATGTTTGCTTTTGATGTAATCGATGAGTGTTTTGTTAAAGCCAAACTAAACAGTCTTAAAACAAACAAAGCGATCGGTTTGGACAACATCAGTGCCAGATTACTGCATTATTCAAATCCGGCGACTGATGCAATGCCAATAATTATAGACCAATAACTATTCTACCAACTGCTAGCAAAATACTTGAAAGAACTGTTCATAGTCAAGTCTATAGCTATCTACTTCGTGAAAATATCCTGACCCCGAAACAATTTGGATTCCGCCCAAAACTCTCCACGGCAATTGCTCTCACCTACTTCACTGACAACATTCTGGCGGATAATTTAGACAAAGGTTCTATCGCCGGTGCAGTTTTCTTAGATCTTTCGAAGGCCTTCGACACGGTTACTGACGATCGTCTCATACATAAACTTGGTACTATTGGTTTTTCAGAGCCAACAATCAACTGGTTCTCTTCCTATCTCTCTAATCGTTTTCAAGTCACTTCTATTGGCCTTGAACAGTCGTCCACTCAACCAGTACATGTCGGAGTACCCCAAGAAAGTATACTGGGTCCTTTACTGTTTCTCATTTATGTGAATGAAACTCCCTCCACTGTTAACAGCTGTGACATTTCCCTGTATGCAGATGATACCGTCCTGTTTTGCTCAGCTAAAACCACGATTGAATTGGAACAAAAGCTAAACTCTGACCTGCAGAACTTATCTCGTTGGTTTGGTGCTAACCGTTTAACTCTTAATACTTCTAAATGCAAATTTATGGTTTTCGGAAGTGATGCCAAACTTGCCAAACTACAAAATATAAATCTACTTATTAATAATAGCCCACTAAATCGTGTTGAATCATTTAAGTATCCTGGTATAACCTTCAGTCAGACATTATCGTGGTCAGATCATATTGAAGCACTCTTTACCAAAGTTAATCAACGTCTTGGTATCATACGAAGAGTTAAGCACCTCCTAACAGTTGAATCTCGTCGTACTCTAGTAAACAGCCTTGTCATGCCGATCTTTGACTACGCTGATTTTGTGTGGGGTGATAAAAACAACTCTGTCCTGATGAACAACCTGCAAGTTCTGCACAACAAAGCCGCTAAAATCATTCTTGACGCTCATCCACTCTCGTCAGCCTCAGAATCCCTACGATCGTTAAATTGGCAGCCGTTAACAACACGTAAACACTTTCATCGTTGTCTAATCATGCACAAGTCTTTAAACAATGACGTCGATTTTAAATTTAATTTCAAGTTCTCCTCTGACATCTACAGCTACAACACTCTAAACAAACAGAACATACATTTGGTACGCGTGAACTGGGGGAAGCAGGCATTCAGCTACCATGCTGCCAACGACTGGAATAGTCTGCCTGTGGAACTCCAGAATATTCGTCAAATTAGAACTTTTAAAACTAATTAAACTAAAGAAACATTTAGCTATATAGCCATAGGACACCCCACCGAACCGATAGGATGCGCAAGAACTTTATACAATTTAACCTTTCATATATTCACTTTTGTTAGTTTTATATTTTTATTCTTTTATTTTCTTTTTTATTTTTTTTATCAGGGCTCCACTGAAAATAACTTTCGTGAGTGGACCCCCTGACCAAATATTGTAATTATTATTATTATTATTATTATTATTATTATTATTATTATTATGGCCTAAAAAAAGATGTTAATGCCTCGTATGCCTGTAAGCATTTGCAGCGGCACAAGAGGTTGTCATCTGGGAAAATAGCATGAAAAGAAGTTTTCAGGGATTTGCCCACACGACTAACTTAGTTAAGATTGGAAGTTTAAGAGGCTGTGACCGCAAAAACCTACCACTGACTTTGGAGCCAGATATAAACCTACCCTAATTTTTTGTCACTTATTCGACTTTGTGTACCAAATCAGAAGATGTATTGGGATTTTTGATTTGTCGATTTTTTCCAGAATTTTGAGGCTTTTTGGTTTCAGTCATAATGGCTGGCTGTATTTGGCGCCATCTGGGAGGTCGAAAATGACAATTTTCATACAGCTACTACAGAATCGTCCTTTAACCTACTGATTTCATCCTAAAATATTCTGAAAGGCAGCTTCTTAGTTTATATATTCATGGCCAAAAAAAAAATAAATTCTGGTTTACCTCACCCTAATAAGGCCAGTGGCTTAAATATAGAAATCGCGCAAGTTCAAGACTTGTTTTCGCAAAAGTGGCACCAATTCAGAGACCATACAAACTTCGAAATGCTGAAAGTACCAACGTGAAATATTCTCTTGATCGAATAATATTTTTGGGAAAACCTTTTGCTGATGGTACACTCTTGTCAGCAATTTTCCTAATTTTTGGTGTCCGCCTCACACGCGTGAAGAATACCATCAATTACACTTGATGGAAATGCATTGCATTTTTAAATTATTTTATCGCTATAGGGCAAAAGATCTCTGGCAAAAGATGAGCAAATGAAATTATTCGAACTAACATTTTGAGCTTCAAGTGTTAGCGACTGGATGTGTTTGTGTCTGGATTTATCAACATTAATTATGGAAGAATCAGCTTGTGAAAGAGTTATATATGCTCGTCTTTTGCGACGAACATTTTATATTTTGCAGATGCCTAATTATTTATAAGATTTCGGCATCATTATTGTCCTGTCAAGTTCTCGCATTATGTATATGTTCTGCTGTCATGGTGTTACCCTTTCAAACAACTGTAAAAAATCGAAGAAATTTTTTGTGTTTGAGCCACTGAATTGGATGGTCGTTTATTATTGTCACTCCTTCCATTTTGAAGTGTTGATACTCGATCTACAAAGTAACTTAGGTCCTTCAGAGTTATAATTGGTCTGTCCCCCCTTCTTTTTGGGGGACAGTGAATAAGGGGCTTATGAACTGAGTTTCGGTTTGTAAATTGGGGTCTTGGACCATGTGAATTGCATGCTTTTCGTACAAAGCTTGTACTTCCTCGCTTGTCAATAAGCCTTGTGCTGGAGTGATCTGCATTGTTGAAATAGAAGTTTGTTGTGGAGTTGTGACAAACTCGATTCAGGATGAATTTCGGACGTGTTTAACAAGTTACTCATATAGTAAATTCAAAGGTGGAGCTCATGCTGTTGTGTCACGAATAATTCCCTCTATTTCTCGAAGAGTTAGTTTCTCTCTTCTTTCGCTAAGCGAATACATACTACTGGGAATTACTTTTCCCGCGCTTTTAGTTGGCGCGTAAAGGCGGATAAGATAACAGTTATTTGAAAAGCAAGAAGGTTCAACACTCCAGTCTAGCGTCTTCATCAGGGGTAATCTAAAGTTGCAATGTGTGACTTCTTATATATACCCACGAGATGACGTCATCTGCCAATAGATACATGTTCCTCTGGCAAATAGGCACCGTCATCCCTATTCAAAGCATGATTACTCATATTTATGTGCCACGCTTCTAGGCAACGTCTGTGGCCATAGCGATTGTTTGTGGTAATTCTTTAAATTTTCCCCCGCAATATTGTGTTTGGTGTCACACACATGTTCTGCTAAAGCTGATTTCCACATATTTAAAGCTAAACTGACAGCCTTTTGATGTTCTTTTAGCCGTGTACCAAACTGGCGTTTAATTTAGACTGACCCAGATACTCGTTCTTGCAGTCACCGCATGGTATAGAGTATACCACATGAGTCTTTTTTATTAGTTTTAACAGGATCTTTCGGCTTTGCCGGTAATTAATTCAGGTAAGGCTCTAATCAAGTACAAATATATACAATTGCCATTCTCATGAGAAAGTTTTACTGTACTACGGCATTTTAAAAGAACATCTTTATTTATTGATGACACCTTAGCAAGTGTCCTCATTTTATGACATTTTTAGCCCGTTTCCATGGTGATGTGACGAACATGTGTTTCTCTGGCTGAAGTGGTAGATTGTGAAGTGATAAGCTTATATATATTTAGGTGCTCAGTTCAATATAACTGTACTGAGCCAATGTCAAAACCATTGTTCTTCATTGCCAAAGAACAATTTTTCAATATGTAGGAAACATTAACTACAATTTATAGGTACGTAATTGGATATAGCTAACACATGCAGGTAGAGGGAGAGTTTGATACGACCAATTATATTACCCAAAAATTTCATTTTCTCGCGCGAGAAAACTCGCCCAATATTAATTTAATAGTCAATGGCATCAAAAGGAAATCTTATCTTATCATTCCAACATGGTACAATGACATGCACAAGTATTTGAGATGAGAATGATGAGATTGATTGTTTAATGAAAACCTTTTTGCAGCTCGTAAGCTGAATTATTAAGGTATTAGATTATTTACAAAGGTAAATTTATTTACTATTTAAAATTTATTCATAATTAGAGTTATTAAAAATATTCTTGTTGTATTGTAGTAAAGAGAGCTAGGTATTAAAAAGGATTTTTTAAATCGATTGGTTTTACATATTGTAATAGTAAAAGGTCTTACGATCCTGAGATAGTTTCTTTGATTTTCGTTATGTGGAACAAGGTCGTGAACTCGGTCGATGAGCAGGATTCGCGATTACTTCCTAAAAAACTTATCACATAAATGTTGTCTGCAGTCAGAAAGTTCACTAATTCCCGCTTGCTCAAGGGCGGATTTGTACGAGGTATCATATCCGTAAATAATCTTCATCGCCCGCTTTTGGATTTGTTCTAAGGACTTACTTAGATATTCAGGAAGGATAATTATAGTGATAAACGTGACAAGCATGCATAAAGTATAGAATAGAGCGTATACGCAACATAAAACTTATCAATGATCAGGTCTTCAGGAGATACTTTGGCCCGTTTTAGTAACTGCTGATATGATAACATGACATAAATTTAAACTATACTATCAATGTCATATAGGGGTAGTGCCCTTTACTGAATTAAAGGTCGATTCTTTCCAGAGTTACTATTCTCATTATTAGGTTGTGGATTTAATACTTTATTTTCATTCCCCATTGTGTTAATCCTTTCTTTCGGCTTGGCAGTTAGATCTATGTTCTCGATCTGATTTTCACGGGGGTCCGGAACTTGCATGTTATTGAGCAATGAGGAATTCTTGTTATTTAAAATCTCGTTAACATGTTCATTGTTCATCTGATTCTCACGGAAATCCGGAACTTGTATACTATTGAGCACTAAGGAATGATTACGGTTTAAGCGCTGACTTTTATGCTTCATCCTATATTCTCTTAATTAATATTGCGAGTCAGGCGAAGGACCTGTATTAAAATCAGGTCGTTTATATTCGTTGTTTAGAGGCTTGCTGGTCATATTTTGTGGAGAAATAGCTGTAGCTGGCATTTGCATGTTCTCGAATTCATGGTTTGGTGAACTTTGTGCACTAATGATATTTGATTGATTAGGTAAATGCTCTGTTGAGACCAAACTATTTGCATCTTTTATTTGTAAATCGTTGTTTTGGCTAGTTGATGGAATTTGTGCATTGTTGTCGGACCCTAAATTCAAGACGGTATTCACGCTAGGTGAGGCTTGACAAACGCCTGACTTGATTTTCACAACTTCTGTTGGGAATTTTGCTTTAAGTATCACCAACAAATCACTAGTTGTATTTTTGATATATAATATCTCAAATCACTCTCGTATCACATTTTTTACAATGGTTTCGCAGTCAAAGTCTCACAACAACAAAAATTCCTGTTTTAAAGGAAAACTATATCTCACGCTATCGCGCGTGGAATTCACGTGTTCTATTACGATTTAACTATAGACTGAGGTAAAGTCTCCGACACACTCCCCCATGTATGTTCTGTCCGAGACATACATGCACTCTCAGACTTTATAACGCAAATATAAACACTAAATAATGTAATTATAGTCATCAGTTCCAACTTTACTATCAACTTTGATTATCGTTCTAGTCCGACTGTTCGTTCTCGGCAAGTTCTCTAATAGCAACTCTCGCAGCTTCTGCAGCGGCACTCTTTGGTCTTGGGTGGAAGTCTGTGGCATCAGGGTTCAGTTGTGGGTTGTTGTTTAAATCGCAAGACAATTCAAGGGGAAATAAATGTTGGACTGCTCTCCAATGTACCCTTGCCTGTTTTCACCACTGCTCCCAGTACAACTCCGTCCTTTCCCGTAATTAATCTTGACACAACAGCAGTTCTCCACGTATTCCTTGGTTTGTTTTCTTCTCGAACAATCACGACTTCTCCGATCTTCGAATGCACAGCATTCTTGTTTCCAGTTTGGCGGTGTTGTTCACGCAGGCCACGAACATATTCACGACTCCATCTGTCCCATACTGCTTGTTTGCATCTTTCTCGGCAATGTGATGTGCCTCTTCTTCAGGAACGTACGTTGCATTGACCTGAAGCAACGAGTTAGGTGTCAGCGCTGGTAATTCAATATCGTCCTCGAGATATGTTAGCGGTCGGTTATTGAACGCTACTTCTACGTCGAGTATGACATCCTCCAACTCAGACCATTTCAGAGTTCCGTTACCAACGGATTTGTAGAACGCATTCTTGAACAAGCCTATAAGTCTCTCGAATTGCCCAAACCACCCCCCCCCCACCAAGGGGCCCGACTCAGATTAAAACGCC